TCTTTGTTTTGAAGGAAGTTTTGATGATCCTTGGTCCATGAGATTCCCATCTTATAAGTGCCTTTTGTGCTTGTTTGGACAGCATCAATGCAACTCCTTATGTGTGGGGGGCATTTTCTTCATCATGGCCGGAGTATAGCAGAAGCTCCCCTGAAGCTAGTCGTTGTTGTCCAACTTGTGTCCAATGTGTTTCACTGATCCCGAGCATCTCTAGGTTGTATCTCCTCATTTCTGCAGCAATTTGGAAGGCTCTCCCGGTGTCCCACATTGTACGAACATTCCATGTACCTAAATAAATGGTCGCTCTGGTTGTCAGAAGGGGCATCGGCCTCGTGACTTCCGAAGGAACTTGGCTTTCATCATGAGGCATCATAGTTCTTCTAAATGAAGACCTTCTGACTCCCAGGGCAGAGTTTAAAAGGTTTGAATAATTTTTTCTGGTTAGCGTTTTTTAGCGAGTTAGTTTTCTATGGGATGTGGTCGCTAACCCCATGTCCAACCCTCCTCCTTTATCCGGGCTTTGGACCGGCAGTAGCCCCCGGAGGGACTCTAGGCGGAGTTAATGAGATGAAAGTATAAGTGAAAATAGACAAGAAAGAACTCGCAGCAGCTTGGTGCCGATGATATTTTGTGATATCCTAACCGGTTAATGGATTGCAGGCTCTATAGAAGCAAGGATACTTGTAGTAGGCAGGATATTTGTGGTTTCTCTTGACGACTCTTTAGCATAATAATGAGCGCCCCTTCGATATGGTTTAGACGTGCAGAGGGCTTCTTATGTCCGAGAAGGAGGTAGATGTGTTCTCGATTGCTAGATCAGTGCAAGCGAAGTCTTGGCGCAGAAATTTTATAAACGTATATAATCCATCCGTCATGTGCTTTCGTTTTTCTTTCGGTGGCCTCAATAGCGAGGTGGTCACGATCTACCATGTCCTAATAGTCTGCTACACACCTTAGGGGGATTGGACCAGCATTTATTTTGTTGCCGCTATCGTTAAAATCAACATATTTTGAGGACTTGTCACTACAAATCCCTACTGATATATTTCTGATTGCCCCACATTGTTCGAGGTTTTCCGATGTTGTAAGATATGATTGACAACCCTTGTTCATCCATCTCTGGCAAGAAGTTCTATCATAAAGAATGGGTGAACTTACTGGACATATATTATTTTCGATTGTCTCTTGAATGTTGACGAACTTATTGCTGTCAACAAAAGCTGTATACTGATAGGCCATTGGACAACATGACCGTGTAACTTTCTTACGAAGGCGTATGTACTCACACTGTATTATGCGCCTCTAATCTATGTTCATGAAGTTTTGTTTGCAATACGTTACGCTGAGCTTTTGAAATAACATTAATGACTTCATTACCTTTTAGGCAATATGGTATGTCTTTCATCTAACTCTCTTCATACAAATTATATGAAGGTTACAATGATCGCCTAATAAATGTGTCAGTGTGGTCGGTGAGATAACTGGGAAAATGCATATTCAACAATTTACACGAAGAGGAAGTCAACTATAGAGAAGACAGAAAGAATTAATTGGATTGAATTTGATGGCATGGCTCAGTCTTGCAGGCGTGATCATTCTTGTGTGAATTATCTCTTTTATTCATATTGAATATTATTGTTCTATCTCCAGCCGAAATGTGTCCACAAGAAGTAGGTAACATCATATTGATGATTCTTACGATAGGACAACTCAGTGTAAACAGTGATGTGACTTCCACGTAAGATCTTATTAAGATCTTATTCATGTGGAATTATGGTCTACTTCGTTTTTAATGTTGCTCTAATATTAGACCTGATCCTAAAATTGCAGATTTTTCATGACATGCAATGACTAGAGCTAACTAAAAACTCTGGCATTTTCAAACAACTCCATTTTATTTCTTTATAAAACCCGAAGAAGTACAACTAGATCGTGTAGTATGTACACATTTTTGATGCCGCGAATGAGCAAAACTCTATAAAATGGTACGTTAGAAAAATTAGAAGATTAAAGAGTTTCTCCTCAAATTGCAGAAACAAGCCACCAAGTGCCACCTCAGTGATCAACTTTATGTCCAGGTACGTGGTTGATCAATTGAAAGAAATAATATGCGAAACCTAAGGAGAGATGAGTAAATGCCGAAGTGCTTTTTCGAGATATTAGGACTGAATGTAATAATTATGAAGCAGTGTATGAAACTGACTTCCAGGACATCAAGAAATTTACCTTATTACTTGGTTATCCCAATCCAATTCGTAATCAAGGTCATGCGGATAACAAATCATTCAGCAATTGCAGAGCAGGTCACAATGGTGAGCGCAAGTTCGGCAAATGTTTGTCCTGTGGTTAATTTCACCCACGTAATTCATGTGCATTTTCTCATGCTAAATGCTTTAGATGTGACAAAGTTGGGCACACTTAGTCACTGTGTAGAACCACTGTTTATTTCGCAGCAAATAATACCAAACTTTGTTATCCCTACCATATTAATTTGGGTGATTCTAATATCCTTACCTAGAACTTTCAATAATTCACGTTATTGAATAAGGAAAAGAGAATTCAGCGAATAAAATTTTCTTTTCGACGAAATTATTTACTTAAGCTGTACATTCGTATATACAGTTATATGGAAAATGTATGTCTATAGGAAGATAGAAAAAATTGCATCACCAAAATGGATTCGTGGATAAACAACAAATGAGGTTAGGTACTAATTAAAGGGTGTTGGTTTCATCAACCGGAAGCCTATTGCTGGTGCTCTGTATGACAGTCGCATGTTGGAAAGGGGGTTTCTCGCTCTACACATCTCGCATATACTCATATCCTGATTCTAGGTGACTAGAATATTTCTGAAGTCGGCTTCACTGATCATATATCCACTGCAGGAGATAACTCGGTCGTCAAAACTCATTGAGGACCTGGGATTATTCAAAACTGTGAGGCTAGCAAGTCGCTGGAGAAACAGTGGAACACCGTCACACCTAGACTGCCTATTTACAAACGAAGATTTCATAATTGACAACCTCTTAGTCTTGGCTTTCCTGGATAAAAGTGATCACACCATCATAACTATCAATCTTATCAAGTAAACTGAGCTAGGACATCCTACCAGCAACAGGCGCTGGAATTTCAAACGGCCAAATTTTTCAGCTTAACAGGCCAATCTACAGAAAGTGGACTGTAAATTTCATCCTCAACTTGATGTGGACGCTCTTTGGGATTTCTTACTGCACATGACCTTATATGCTACAAAGCAGTCTGTTCTACCAACGGTCCTCGAAAACAAAAAACGACCTAGTCATCAACAATTCTAGTTTTCGTTTGCTAAGCCACAAAAGGCACTACTGGGAGGAATACAAACGAACTGGTAACAACAGCGCATTCAGGCAATTCAAACAAACAAGAAACCAGTGCATGAAGACCATAAGAGAGAGGTGAACCTGAGCGCTGACTTGGTGTGTCAGAAACTACATTATATAGATAAGGACACTTTCCCTGGCTCGAATATGGTTCATTCTGCTATACTGAGTGAAGGAGCTTCAGTCTTGACAAAACCTCTATGCGTGATGTTCACACATTCGCTAAGAAAAGGAATGGTACCAGAAAATTGCCAGTCGCCTCACGTTATACCTATTATCAAAGGAGGCCAAAGCAGTGAATCTTTGAATAATGGATTCCCTGGTATAAGATGATCTACGTGAGTACTTACCATCCATAAGCTTCTTTTTACTGCAAAAACATGGTTTCAGAAAAAGTCACTTTTGTATAGCCAACCTGCTAACGGCGGTGGACAACCATCGTTGGCCGCAAGGTGAATGTTGATGTCATATACCGTGACTTCTTAAAAGCTTTCGATAGGATCAACCATATATGTTTCATCAGTAAGCTCAGGTGTCAGATCACTGTCAACTGATTGGCTCACTTCATACCCAAACAATCGACTTTTGATGGTGTGTCAATTTCGCTGTTTCTCAGATCATGAAATGTCTTAGTGGGATCCTCTGGGGGTCAGTACTCGAACTTTTTTTATAATTTATGTATGTGACATTCCCTAGCAAGTATCGTCCAACTAATCGCATTTCGCTTGTGATGTGAAACTTCAGGGAGAAGTTTGCACCTGAGATACTGAGCTGGCACTTCAGAGGGATCTGACCCTACTTCAAAGTTGGGCGGATAACAATGGACTTACCTTCAGTACTTCACAGTGCAATGCAGTCCATCTATAACATGTTGGAGACTATTCATACAGCGTAGATAACTATCCTCTAGAGCCATACCAAGTTTAAAAAGATCCAGGAGTGTTGGTACCCTACGATCTAAAGTCTTACGCTAACTGTGACAAAAATACATTTCGAAAAAACCTTGATCTAGTAACATTGAAGCTCATTTTTAGCCAGTTCGACAGCAGAACATCCCGCTTGATCACCAGCAGTTTAATTCGACTTTATTTAGAGTAGGAAAATATAGTATTCCAAAAGAATGAAAATAAATTGGAATGTATCTAAAGGTGATCCACAAAATCAGTTCGGATACTCAAATTCAAGCCTTATGAAGAGCTCCTCAAATCGCTGAACCTTTACCCGTTTGAGTTTGGGTGTCACAGAGGTGGGCCTCAAATAACTCACAGCACCTTAAACACTTCTTGGTATCCCCTTAAGAAACTAAACAAGCTCAGTTCCAACACAAACTATAGGGGTAACACGCAGAAATCGGATACATGGCGGGAAGGACTATAGGCATATCTTTTACTACATACGAGTGGTAAAATTCTAGAATTCGCTGATGAGTTGGGTGATTAAGCGGCTTCTCAGAAGTCCTTTGAAGGGAAACTTATGATATTTTGAGGGACTAAGGGAAGTATTTCACCATGATTTATCAACCCTCTATTCTCTTATATCTTCAGCCACACCTATGTCCCGAAACACAGGCACCAGTGATCCACTGATACTAGATACAGAAGCTCGTTAAGCGATAGCTTCTTCTATTCCTTCCATAACCATTTGAACCATTTGGTTATTTAGTGCTCTATTCGTATGCCTTAGCCCGCGGTGTGTGATAACTGCGTTACGAAGGCCTGAAGCCTTTGGTGTAAGTGATGTATTTTTGCTGTGAAAATTGCATGAAGGGTGTCGATGAGCGTTTTAAAAATGGTAAAGTATGTGGTTAATATTTTTTAGTATAAATATTCATCTGACGTTTTTCTGTCATTTGATTTATTACATCAGTAATAGTGGTACTTCGAAGTACCACTAGACGACCGTTTAGTTTTAATAATTATTTTTGATAGTGTAACAGCGTATCTTTTCATCCTGGATATTATCGAAGCATTTAGTTGGTTTTTCAAAAATTCGAAGAAGTCCGTTATTACTTTTACCTAGGACTGATCATTTGGTAGGACATTCTCTTAAGGTCAAAAACCGAAATCAGATAGTTTATTTCTGGAGTTTCGTTTCGAGTTACGACTGTCCGAAATTCTCCAAAAATTACATTTATGGTGCTCTATATCGTATGAATTCCCCAACCCACGTGTTTAGACTAATTATACTGCATCTCATTAGGTGGAGTAACCTTAGTACTACTATTACAACATAACACAATCCACCTTGAATTCCTACTATCCACAGAATAGCTTCTAACACTGAATTGTTGGAAGACTTTAGTCGTTTTGAGGACCACAGTATTTGTTGTTAATTGTTATCTGACACTGACCCTCGCTTTTAACGTATAACTGCAGTTGACTTAGTGAGACTGTGACGGAAATGCCTTTGTAAGTATTAAGTTTTCCTTAAACTTCGTACATCTTCTGCTACGCTAGTCTAGTCGGTTTGTAGATTTTCAAGGCGAATGTTTAGTGTTAAAAAACCAGTCTTATGCTCTAGCTCGCTGAATAATCTCTAGAATTTTGTGCTGAAAATAGCTCCCAAAGCTATCAAAAGTACAATTAAGACACACACCGATCTCCAGTTTTCAGAATACAGTATCATTAATCCTCGCAAAGTAGTTCTTTGCTAAACTGACGAGGATGGTATCTTACTAAACACAACTATTTTGTGACACCAATTAATTACATGGGTTGTCACCTAGTATTTTTTATGGTTGGATTACCAGACTGTCGATGAACTTAATTATTTGTTGGATTCAGTTTTGTGAGTGATCACTCCGTAAGATGGCGTCATTTCGGATTTACAGTCGATCAACATCCTGTCAGTTGTTTTAACCATTGATTTTTGGTTAGATTAGTCGAAATCATGTTCACACTACGAATTTCTACCTTAAAATAATGTTCTTCGTTCACAGTTTTATAGATTGTCTCAGGTATGGATAAAATAGATGTTCACATATTTGTTCTCACGGTTATAAATAAAGAGTGAAGTTGTATCATTAGATTTACCATGGATAGCACCGTAATTGCTCGTATAAAGCGTCAGTCAACTACGACGTAGGACCAGGCACACATATGCATCGGTCCAAGTTTGTAACAGGTGTCACAATAAATATCTATCATTGCAAGAAAGTTCTGGTTTTACGGATGATATATGGTTACTGTAAGGTAACAAACAGACAGCATAAATTTCAGTTAATCAAAGCTTTGTTGTGCAAAGTCCATATTTCGAGCTAATTAAGCCTTAGGTATCTTTTACTAGATTGCTTGGGATCTACGTTACCTTAATATTTTTGGTGAAATATTGAATGATCGAATTTGTGTATATGAGGTAGTGGGACGAGTACTTTTTGGGTGTGGTTGACTTGATTAGTTCTCATACAACTAAAATCTTAGTGACGAGTATCAATGTGAGTTGGTTGTGTGGCTGTATTTTATGAATGAGATGAAATCACTACCCGCCGACCCGAGTCGTACAAGTTGGTGAAGACTTTAAGTTAGGTCTTGTTGTGATGGAAATATAGTGGTTGAACAGCCTGTTTGGCATGCTTGTATTGTTTGTTTGAATCTTCACATTGATGTTTAGGACTACAATTGATCAGTTTCTTACTGGCATATGTGCATCGTGCGCGGATAACCTCGATATTGCCTTGAGCCACAAGCATTATAAACGAAGTTATATGGTGGCTAGTAGTGGAATTTGAGTTGCACGTTTCGTCCTATTTGGAACTCGTCAGTTGCATGTACTTGGTGGTTATCGGGACTCAGTAGCTAAGTGAATAACGCGTTGGCGTTTGAAGCGGACGGTGCTGGGTCCGAGTCCCTGGGTGAGTATCAACTCTGGGATGCAGTTAATTTTGTCGTTTTTATTTCTAGATTCAGAATAGCCGTTTTATGTCCGGCCTTCATTTGCTTTGGTTTACTTATAGGTATGGAAAGACTTGATTCTCTACTTTGTCGATTAGAAAAAGTAACTATTCTTCTTGAAGCAGCTGTCGTTAACAATATGTATCGGACATCACCAATTAAAATATCTTCGGGTAAATAAGGTTTTCATAATTATTCCTTTGTCTCAAGAAAGTGGAAATCCTTCATCAATCAAGGAATTTCATGAAATAGTCACTAGCCCTTTATCGGAATACGTACGTAATAGTTTCGAAATTGGAGATATTGTTGGAAATCACGTAGGTTTGATTCTGTATTAAATCACTTCCACGGGATTATTTTTAAAAAGGCCTCCATGGTTAAACAATGTTTTTTGATGCAAGAAGGAATAATCAAATTGGCAGCTGAATGCTCAAAACCTTCTGACTCTGAACTTAAGCTTATTATAACACCATTAGGAAACCTAATAGAAGAAGTTATCGTAATTTGTTAGTACTTCGTTAAATTGTTTTCCTTTATAGAAATTTAAGGATAATAATCGAAGCAGTAACTTTTTTAACCATCTTTCAGCTGTGGCTGAGTCTGTTACAGCTCTAGGCTGGCTAAGTGATGTAAGTTTTGTTTTTAAGCCTTTAAACTATTCAGACTGTTGCACCATCGACGTACGTTAAAACCATGCAAGAAGCCGGTGAATTCTTTACGAATCGTGTTCTTATGGAATACAAAAACAAGTTAGTTATTTATTAAGCAGTTTATAAATAAACTCACTATTTGTTATATTGCGAAGAGGATTATCTTTAGAGTTTACTGCTATATATGTTTATAAATATATGTATACATACCTAATTAATTTGCGTTCTGATGGTTTCGATAGACTATATTCCTGGGAAGATTTCTAACACCAACTGATAAGGAACGGGTTGGTTGCCAATCGAACTAATGAAGACCAACGGTGTGTTGTAATGTTTAATGAAAAGCAGTATGTTGCTCAGCCGTAGCGTTACTGATAACCATAGAAAACACACACTGATCAATTTAAAGATTCCGAATGTCATATATATTTTGCCACGAACGTTTTCATGTAATCTTTCCACTAATATCACAGTTATTTTTTAAGCTTATTGGAGAGAGTTCTGGCCCCAGCAATTAAATTGCACCGTGTAATCGATTCATAATAAAGTTAATCTGTTCCTTGTACAATGCTATAATTAACACGGTTAGATATGATGAACATGTGTGGCTTTTATTATGACATACTGTTGTAACGGCTGAGTTGCACGGTTAGATGCGCAGCGTATTTATCGATCGAATCAGTGACACGTAAAACACGTAAGGACGACCTAGAGTCCCGATTGGTCCCGCTTCCCTGTCTATCCCAGCCAGTTGAGTCTAGAACGCAAGTCACAGCGTCTGAGTTATGAATCGTTATATTTCAAACATACTCTGTTTATATACCAACCAAACAGACCACATCGTACCATAAAAATAGAAAACAACATCTGTACAATATTTAACGAGTGAAATAAATAATGGCTAATAGGGAATGCCCATTTAGAGTCCAAGGACATCATTAGACTTAACATGATAATGATTGGTATATTCCTCAGCATCCATAACACATACATTGTTGTTTCTCACGGATAATAGTCACATTTAGATGGATCTACTTCGTTAAATCATATCTGGTTTTTCTACAAAACCGAGGGGATAGCTTGTTGGATTTTTTCTTATTGTTTACGTCAAAATTTCAGTGAGTTTATTGATCCTTGTGGTATTTACACAATTCTTAAATTTTATTAAACTCGTAGCTAATAAAAATCCAGTGACTCAACCAGCTTTTGCATACGTCAATCTGGTTTCAATGTGTTGGATTTATTTTACATACGCCATCTAAGGTGTCTTGCATATTTAGCATAGTTGTTGATGACAAGGCTGGCTTAGATCAGCCGAACTATAGTCAGTCTGTTAGCGAAATTCAAGATTTTACAAGTAAAAGTGATTAAATATTTTGACAATATATATTGAGTATGGTTGTGTTGGATTTTTTTATACAGAGCCCAAAGTTGTGACGCATTATTCTTATTATCTTTGGGCTATAATTTCTTCTGTGAAGAGAACTTTAAGACCTGAAGTTTCATCTCTCGTTTTCTTCAACAATCACTTGAAGCAATTTAGCACGTTACAGTTACTACTACGCTATACAACTGTTCAACTCCGTGAGAAATCAATTAAAAGACATTTTACGATAAGATCAAAGTGCGGTAATCACGTATTATTAAAAATCAGATGTCCATAAGAGCTCATACTAATCTCGCTGAAAATCAAATGTATTGTTGAACAAATTCAACAGGTTTTAGAATTTATTTGAGACAATCCATGGTTATATGGTTTGTTTTTAAAGATATTGATATTGAAGATTTCTTATTTAATTTATTAACCTCCTTCATTTGTTCATGAAAAATGACCATAAATATTTTCTGTTATTTACTGTAGCGACACAATTCATCGTGCTTGGAAAAAATCTTTAATGTCTGTTTGGACTGCATTACAAGTTTATGTTAACAAGCATCATACCACTGGTTTGGTTTGGAATGCTCGTGGTAAACCAGCTGTGGCATCGAAGCTGTCTAAGTCTTCGCCTACTCGTGAAGTTAATTCCAATTGTTCTGCACAATCACCCCCTGTACTTACAGCTTCTCATTTAGCTGCAATGTCATTGGTGTGTGTGTGAATACGATGATCTTTTTGTTCCATGGAAATGTGTTCATTATAAATTAGTTTGATACATATTTTGTTCAGTAGATTTTAGAATCTTTGGATTTTAAACATTCATGATTCTCATCAATGATTCGGTCGTCCATTCATTTAAACCATTAGACTTGGCCACATTACTCGTTCTGTTTCTCTTATGATATGCTAATATAGTTGTCAGCCAATTGTAACTATCCATTTATTTTGTCACTACCTTTTTCAATTTCATATCGCGTATTGGATCGAAGTGTTGCGTATTTATGTGTATCAATTATCTATTCATAAAATGTTGCATTCATTTCATTTTGAAATCATCGTAATTGAAAGGATATACCTATCAAATACTTTCCAGCAGTTATTCTGACGTATAAGATTTAATTATATCTTTATTGCTGTAGTTCCCGTTCTAGCACCAAAGATTTATGAAGTTAGTATCACCATCATTATCACCTAAATACATTAATATAAATCTAGTGGGAATGTTACTTGTTTTGGATAGGTTCAGTCAAATTGGGTTACATAGCTTGTTACAGACCATATTTTAGAGGATGACGCTCTATAGTCTTCTTAACATTTGTTGGTTGGTGTTAGACACTAACACCATTGGATTCCGGCTCAGTGGTCCAGTAGGTTAAGCGTTCGCGCGCGAAACTGGAGGCCCTGGGTTCGAATCCCGCAAGCGGGATCGTGGATGTGCACTGCTGAGGAGTCCCACAATAGGACGGAACGGCCATCCAGTGCTTCCAGGTTTCCAACGGTGGTCTAACATCAGTCGGTTCATGATCTCAATCAAAAACAATCTTAATACCTTAATTGTTACTTTACTGTGTTTCATATATCCTGCCAAGTGTATTTAAAGTAGGTAATGAAATAAAATTACTTATAGTTAACTGGTCAAATGACAAGTGCACGTGATTGATTGTCCGTAAAACGACTTTCATTTCTCAAGAATGATAAGATATACGATATTCGATACTGATACCCAGTCTTCAGATACACAACCTAAACGAGTGAGAAGAAAGCTTCATATATATATATATATATATATATATATATATATATATATATATATATATATATATATATATATATATATAGAGTACACATACATGTCAATTTAGCCAGCAAATAGATGCTTTCTTCTCACTCGTGTATCTGCAGCCTGAGTTTCAGTATCGAACATCTCACATCCTGCTAATAACTACATAAACATCCTATAGGACAACATAGCATTGAGTGTATACTTTTGATTACTTCTTTTATAATTAACGCATATTTGTCAAAAGAATGAACTTCATTGGTTATGTTCCAAAATATAGTGATCATTTACTTGTAAACAAAGCTTCTAAATACAATCAGGTCTGCCTTCCAGATTATACAGTTTATCACGTCTAGAAACACGTTAGTATTCAGTGAGCCATTGTTCCTTTTACGATCACTGGCTCAAAACTTAATTAAATTGTGTGTTTGTCTCTTATTCAAATATGTGGTTGACTTCATGCTTATAGACTAGACTATATATGTTTATGTTTATGCATATTTCAAGTAGTCTTACGATAAATTTTCTAAGATATCGTTTATTTCGTGTATAAATCTATCAAGACGATTGGATTTGGTAATTATTGATGTGCTTTATGTCGTTAGTTAATAATTTTTTCCATACTCATAAATTTATAACTCAGGATAGGTTATCATTAATATTTCTCTGTTTAATTATTAATTAGCAAGCAAACGATAACGCAACACAGTCTAATTTATTTGCTGATCTGAATCGTGGAACAGCGGTGACATCTAATCTGCGCAAAGTGACTGACGATATGAAAACACATAAAAATCCCAAACTTCGTGAAGGACCTATTATCCATACATCACGAAATCAAGTGAATTCATCATCGAATAATCCCACTGTCCGACCACCAGCCGAGAAAGAGCCGTCGGGGGCTGGATGTTTGGAACTAAGGGGTAACAGATGGATTGTAGTACGTTTTATTTGTTAAAAATCTTATGTTATCTTTTTGATGTTCTGTACTTAAATCCTTTTCAGTGTGATTAATCTCATTATCAAAATGTAGTGTTGTAAAATTCTCTAACCGTTGAAACCTCATTATATGGAATAATATACTAACTTTTAGTACCTAGTAGTAAGAGCTCGAAGAGCTTACACACCAACTAGAGTCAAAATATTTGACTTAGTATGCAAACGAGGTTTACATTTGTCAAAATTAGACATTAATCATGAGTGGTCAGTCAGTTATTTACATATTTGGACGTAGCACATATAACCTTTTGTTGTCTGATATTATTAGGGTTCATGAGAAATAATAATAATAATAATAATCTGAATTGTTTCATCTATACTAGTATTGTTGTCCTCATTTTTAAGATACAAATATTCTAAGGAAATCAATATTTGAAGTGTTTATTTGTGAAAAAAAAACAAGTAGAGACGTATATAATAAACTTGTTATTATTTGTATTCAAGAAACGATAATTTCTCACAGGAAAAATGAAAAGATATGAACACTTATGCCGTTATTACAGGAGATTCGATCAAGTATAGACGTGTTTTTGCATTGTAATTTGTTAACTAAAAATTAGCAGAACACTAATTTAAATATCACCTCATCTATTAATGTTTAGTGTAATAATAGTAATCCTCACATAATAAATATTCATCTGTATAAGATTGTGGAGATTGTTGAGTTTCATGTTAGTCCACCATTGAAAAATTATAAGTATTGAATGGTCGTTTCGTCGTATTGTGTGACTTCTCAGCAGTGCATATCCACAACTCCGCACCCGTGAATCAAACCCAGCACCCTCTGTCTCGCGCATGAACGCTTAACATCTAGACCACTGAGCCAACACTCAATGGGGTTAACGTCTAGCTTCAATCGATCCACAATATTGCGTGACCATCTTCCGTGACTAGTGGAGTTCAATCGAGTCGGATGTGAGGGTGTTACCAACCAAAAACAATGGACATCGTGTTCACTACGATACTTAAACATCCTGGATTCCATCCTATATTCCTCCTAGATACCTACTGTTAAGGATTCCCAAACTGAGGCTAGCTGTCCGGTGTTTTGTGATTCCGAATGACTCTCCGACGAATGTCTAGTTCGTAAACAAATTTAACTATCAAAAAGACAATTTCATTGTTGATCTGAATACTTTAGCCTATCTGCTGATAATTTTTTTTAAAAATGTGACTTGGTTAATTTTATTTCATACACCACAAATTAATTTTCACTAATTATAAGTGTCCATTGGACTGTTGAAAATCTACCCCTTGATTGATTTTAATTATCGATTTCTTCAAAATAGAATTTTTCACTTATACCACTTTGAAACTGAATGGCTGTTCGTGTATTTATCTATACTTGTACACGTTTAGTGTATGTAATTGCATGGATAAAATCACTTTGCACCTTTTATTCACTGTTCAACTTTGTAGAAATAGTTGTCTATCTATTTTTGGTTATTTTCTGACAGTCTCCATTATTATTTTCTGTTGGAATATAAGAAAGCATTAGTATTTAAAACATTCATACTAATGACTATTATTTGTGATCATTTTTAGCCTGATGATATTATTTCATGTAGTTCAATTCGAATTTGTTTTTCAATTCAATGTTTATACTCGTTAGATGGTGTTTACGGTATATGAAGATAATTCATGCATATAGCCATCCAAATGTTTCTTCACTATTTGACATTTTGTCGATTTTGTGGGTTTGTATTTCTTAAGGATATATATATATATTTCGTATCTTTCTTTTTTACAATAACACTTATGTTTCGTCCGCTGTATCTTATTTTATACTTTTTAAACTCAGTTTCGCACTTCCACCTGTCACGTATGGGAACCATAAATTTTTACTTCTATGAAGTGATAGTACCTTAATAGCCTATTGGTTATTTGGCTTTTCGAAGTGGACAGTGTACTGTTTGATATGGTTTCACCGATGGCTTACCTACTTTTTGATGTGAAATACGGTATATGTAACGTTCTCACTCAGAGTTTGTTTGGAAAGAAAGCAAGTAACCCCATAAACCAAGACATTTCATAAGTCCAATAAGTCACTGAGTGTTGGTACATAAGAAGCATGTTGGTAAATGAATACTACTTGGTTGGAGTCTACACAATTATCGCAACCAAATGTTGGATGATGTAGATCAGGTTTGGTCATTATAGGCCAACTGCATTCACTTCTTGTATTCCCTTAAACCTTAAGTTTCAAAATTATTTTTTATTATTCATCCCTCAAATTCACTCATTCTCAAATTATAACTTGTCTGCCTAATTTTTTTACTATCATTGATACTACTTTTGTATTCATTGCGATAATTTAATTTCGCTGTTCTGACGTGTTGTCGGGACTTAGGCTAATCCACATTTCTGTCAGGTTCTATATTGCCTATCACTGACTGATAGGGAACAGCAAAGAATATATATACGTGTCTGTTTTAAAATATCTCCCTCATGTCACAATAACTAAAGTAACCCTGTATGTAACTAAAGACGATTCACAGGTTTTTTAGATTCACTATTTAACAAATTTGTAGTAGACAACTGGCAATTGTGTAGATCATTCTTAAGGATATACTTCTTAAAATATCAAGTTTTCATAAAGATCCATTTCAATACCGTTGTCGAGAAATAGAATTATCTAAAATCTAAATTCTTTTTTACTAAGTGCGGTACTCTTATAATTAATAGGTCGAAAGTTTGCGAAGCGACTTTCATTCTTAATTGAATAGTCATTAACATTTGATTGTAACTAGGTTATTTTTTCTTAAGGACTTAACAATTCACTCATACAATCATATGGCTTTATTTAGAACCATCAAGGGTGTATCAGTATAGATTACTTTCCAACCTTAATTGAATCAGCACACACCGATTAGCCTTAGTATTTAACCTGTTAAAGAAGTATTGAGTTGCTGTTTCATACACTACACTCCCTACTTCTAACCACAAGATTGCATATTGAAACACTTCTACGTACTTTTCTGTTAATAGTTGGAAAGTATTCTTGGGTCTCACAAATTCGTTTTTATACAAATCTAAGTAAACTTGCAGTGTATGAGATATATAAATGTTGATATATACTTTTATACAACTTTAGTGATAGTATGTAGAGATAGTAATCAATTAAATATTGCATAACAAACTGTAAACTAATAACGAATAATGATACTCTATTTTTAAATAAAAGTACGTTGAATGGTTTTTAAATACGTAACTTGAGCAAGACTATATGTTTATTACTTAATATTGAAGTCAGTTTACGTCACGGGTTGATATTAAGGAGATCTGAATAACTGTTTTGTTCTAGATTGAGATTTATCATCAGTAGTGTGCACAGAAGTCCCAAAATAAGATCAAAGTCAGGACAGCCAAATTGTCGTATCGTACATAATATCTATAGAATAGGGAGTTAGAATCCATTGATGATCCATAATTAGTCAGTTTGCTATAATGCGCGACCATCATACAACACCATTGATGATATCTGTTTCTCTATCTATATAGTTAAACTGCATTCGACTCACTGGTACAACGTCTCAAACCATAGATTAATCGTTCAGTACTTCATGATTTTCAGGGACTCTCTAGTTCATATTAAACTATGACGTAAGGTAGCTTTCAAACTAAGCAATCTTTACAAATTGCTTATCTGTTTAAGAATAATTGGTTCATTGAACCCACTTTGTAACTACGAATTTTTTTATACTTATTATTAGGAAGTGATACTAATAAGTTTTATACTTTTTGTGGTTATCATTTTATTTTCTAGGAAAATTTCCAGTCTGCCGGAAATTTACAAATTGTTAGTACCGAAACAAAACAAACAGTTTGTATTCATAAATGTAATGAATGCACAGTTCAAATTAAGGGGAAAATTAATTCAATCATGATGGGTGAGTGATATTATTATCGATGATAAATCATTATGTTGTGTATATGAATGATTGTGTGTGTATATATGAATGTACCAAGCATGCAACTAATTTGGCATAAATCTTTTAACTTGTTTTATTCTACACTACAAAAATAGAAAATGAATTTTACTAGATAAAGGCCAGTGTAAATTTCAGATTTGTTTATATATGTATATATTTTGAAATGAATTCAGTATTGAAAAGCCTCTGTTTGCTAACTGAATTATTGTAGGAATGTAATATCTATTTTCTACCAGTGTTTTTGTCAAAACCTTAACGTCTTCTCATCACGTATCTATTTTTTTTGTCTACATTCTTCTGTTGACTTCCTTCTACATTGTTATAAATGACTTGTGATTTAAATATCTTTCTGTTATGCGAAGTTGTGCATCATGCCAGTTGATCAGTAGTTATATCACACCATATTATTCATGCTTCATTATACAATAGTTATAGTTATTATCCATTAATACGATGTTTGCAAAAATAAGCTTCAAGTCTGATATACCTTTTCTGATAGTTTGTTTATTTATAGGATCTGTGATGACAAAATTACTGACTTGCCTCAGTGTAAATAGTTCGACAAAATAAGTTTTTACCATTTTCATGGAATTTATGAAACTAAAAGTAGTAACTTTCCGTTTATGCATTCAATTTCTAACTACTGAGTTCCATGCCTTAGAAATATTGCTCTCATCCGCTGGGATCACCGGGTAAGTAATAGTGAGGTTAGACACAGGGTATTAGGTAATGAAATCTTTCTTTTATTTATTACACCATTGAGTTAACTGCTTCTGTGAATCCGGTGTTCGTCTTGCTATGCTATTGTGTGTCAACTTGGACCGATGCATGTATGTGCCTGATCCTACGTTGTAACTGGTTGACTTACTGACTCTATACTTGATCACATAGAAGTAGATTCTAAGAAGACTATTGAGGATGTATCAAAGACATGACACCAATCCATCGTGTTGTTGGATGCTGGTCTGAGTTGTGTGGGGAGAAGCAGATTTCCTTCTTGGGATCCTCAAAATAATTATCATGTATGGTAAACCAGCTGAAAGTCGATTGTAGTAGGGTGACTCAATCCATATTTTGTATTTATCTAGATTATAAGTATCATTACTGTTATTATTTCGACTCTTTAAAGTTTCGCCTTGTCGATTTTATCTTTTTTGTGTATCACCTTAGTATTTACACTCATCTGTATAATCTGCAGTTTATTTCTAACTAGTTTTAACAAACATCTCATAACAATACATATTTATGCAATATCGGGACAATCCGGTTATTGGTGTAATTATTTGAAAAATTCCGCATTTTGAGAAGTTTGTACAAAGGCCAAGAGACATTATTAACGTCAATGGTCAATAGTTTATTAGTCGCATGCAATCAGTCTAAAAATTTACTCTTGATTATTGTGTTAGAATGTATGAGTGACACAAATTAATATCAATAACTCAATTGGCTGATTGCAACATAGATTACAAAATACAATGGGAGGATGTAGAATAAATAAGTTCTTTATATGTGTACTTGAGTAGATCGACTTTTATGCGTGAAGTTCAATATTATCATGTTTATATTATATCATCTTGTTTTGCTGAACAATTTACATTAATTCATTGATGCTAACTGTTACTTCGTGTGAAATCGGCTTTAAATCCTTTATTATTGTTGAAAGAAATTGTTCATGTATGATTTATACCTGAATTGTTTTAAATAAAAAATTATCAATCAAGTACTGATTATGTGTATGTGCCTTTAGTCTTGTTCTATTTCCTGGACTGAATGGTTTAGTTGTGAAGCTTTGGTTGTTTTTCTGAATACGTTATCGTCAAGGTGTGCTTCAAGCTGAAATAAACCGTTCGGTTAAAAAATATTCAACACTATCGAAAGCATTCAATAGAGCTACGAATCTTCGTCATCATTTCAAAGTTTGTGTGCATACGATTCTATTCTAATAAATCAGCTCTCGGGAAAGTTTCTGAAAGACAAATTCGTTTCATTAACAGACATTTTATGCACCAAAAGTTGATTCATATTTTCTCGTATCTTCTATGCTTAGTCTTTCCTACTATCACTATTAGTGCTACTGTAGTAGACGCTACTCACTAGATTGTTTGTAAGTAGTGTGTATCAGAATGTGACGTGGAAGTTATCTCTATCAGACAGAGTAAGGAGTTTTAGTGCACAGAAAGTAGTGTTGGCAGAACACACCAAAAGATGCAAAGGGAAGGTTGAAGGCTATGCATAACGTATTTTATGAATACTTTACAACTCACAAAAATAAGTTCCTTCTGAAATTGTCGTGTTTTACACTACTACCTCTAATACTCTGAGTTTTACCCTAACAATTTCATCCCACTACATCAGTGGGATGTGACAACTTGAGCCGATACACACGTATCCCAGGTTCTACTTTGCGTATGACTGATTAGCAGCAAACGTTTTCGATATACTGCTGTTCTCTCTTACGTAAACTTAATTCATGTGTTGTCTTAAAATATATATTGTATCAAATTTTATTATTATTTTTACTGTTAATCCTGTGAAGTCAAGTTGAAACAGATCATTTAAACAATTATGGATCATAAAATGTTTTAACATCATTTGCTGACATTCACCAATAATTTGATAATCATTTGTACTTAGCCACATGTTTACATTTACAATAAAATTGTCTATAATCTATACGTTCATTATCATATTAAATGTCTTACAGTTTTCAAATACATCACATTTTATTTAATGCTAATATTTATATGGATTATTTAAGAGAATCAAATGTTAGTATTAAATTATAAATCGTAAAACTTGATTGTTAATGTTTTTTACTACCTGGAAAACGATTTATGAAAAAATTTAGAACATTCACAGTATACATCACGCATAAATGTAATAATATAATACGATTAATTCATTTTAATCAAGTAAGTTTGTGTTCATTTTGATGATTGATGGAATGAGTTATTAAGTTTATGAATGGCTTTTTTTCAAGAGCAATAAAATTACTGTCATATGAACTATCTCTGAGTTGTTATGTAGAGATGTATTTTGTATTTGTATATATATGCTTTCCTGTACATTATGTATACTTTTATTGATTCTTGTATAGGAACTGTCAATTTGAATATTATTGATATTTCAATCATCATTTTACTTTTTATCACGTTCTTGTTTGATGAGTTTTTATTATTTTCTGTTAGATAATTGTAAGAAAACCGGTGTAGTCTTTGATCATCTGATCTCATCTATTGATGTGGTGAATTGTCAGAGTGTTAAAATTCAGGTTAGTTTTTTAGTCTTGTGTTCAAATATGTATGTATGTGTTGAATTCTACAACTTGTATCAAAATTCTGTAAATGTGTGTTTAGTCACTGGATAGTAATAATTTACAGTTAATATCTTCTATTGATCAGATAGTTTTAATTGCGAACAGAAACCAACTGAAAGCCGAAAAAATCATTGGAAAGCCAATTGCTCATATGAAATTGTTCTGTTGATAATTAAGTTTATACCTGTTTAATAGTAATATGGTAGTTTTTATTGCGTGCATTATACACAGATGTATACATGTATATATTTATATTTATGTTCCTCATTCTTGTTAATTTCCACATAAATTTATTTCTGTTTAGTGTCTTGGACAACTATCAACTGTGAATATTGACAAGACAGATGGATGTCAAGTGTTCTTAAGTGAAGACTCAAAGTATGCTGATGTGATCACAGCAAAATCTTCAGAGATCAATATCCTCATACCTAAAGGAACTGATGATTTTGTAAGTTTTTTTTGTTTTTCGAAAGAAATGTTTACTATTTTTCTCGATAATATCAGACGATATTCAGTCATTGATAAGGCGAATATACGTGCATAAAATGCCATCTGTAAACAAAGAATCACTAATTAAACTATCAGAAAAAGACGATTTAGATGTTATAAAATAATAACAAAATAATAATGATAATATGCTAACCTTTTTCTGTGATTTAAGTACCACCTAGCTATCGGGGTATTTGCCTATCATAGAACGTAAACCCATTCTGTTTCTTTGTTCACTATATAATATTAACAGTTCCTCAACTTCTACCTTTTTGAAAAATCACTTCATTTAATTTGCATTTAGTGTTTATTTTATATTCAACCATATCATAAAGACGATTAATTACTTTAAACGTTGGAATTAGTTAAATTTCAATCGCTGAGAATATTTCAAATATAATTTTCACATATAATGACTTCTCTATACTCGGCGCCCAATTACTGTCAAACTATTCGTTCTAATCTTGACGAATATTCGTATAAATTACTTTAATAGTTTCATTTATTAATTTACTACTTTTCCAATGTACATAATCAAATCTAGATTGTTGTTCCTATAATATACTTACTTACATACATACACACATACTTACTTACTTACTTACGCCTGTTACTCCTCATTAAGGAGCATAGGTCCCAAGCCCGGGTAAAAGAGGAGGTTTGGGCATGGGGTTAGCGACCCCATCCCGTAGAAAACTAACTCTCTATAAAAACGCTAAATATCAATAGTATACTTTTCAAATATTATATATAATACCTATTTGCCTCTTTTCTAATCATATACAATTCTTCTCAATGATAAATATGAATATAAAAGCAATACTAGTGAATGTAGCAAAATAATCTAATGATGAATTCATTTATTTCTATATATTCTCTTTATATGCTTATAAATCAATGAATTTATTCATGAATTATTTAAAACTAATCTATGTACTTATGAAGTTATGATTTAATGAAGATTATTATTTTTTCTTTAAAAAAACAAAACAAACTAATATTAAATGTTGAAGAGTTAAACAAAATCATAATAGGTATTTAAATTGTTTATTCTTTCTATGTTAAATAATTTAAGGAATGTTACGTTTTAATAATCTTTATTAATATGATGTAAAATATGTATATTAGTTTTAATTAATTGTCATTATTGTTTCTATGCTGTAAGCAGATGAACAGAATTCATAAAATAATTAAATTCCTATTATTCTACCTATATATGCTAATTAATATAAGTTTACAATATTTATCATTCCAAGTAACACTTTTATTATTCAACTAATCTTTACCGGCTTCATTTTTTTAATATCATGATAATTGATATTATTATAAAATTTCCTATTGTGTATGATTACTCTATGGTTCATTTCATGTTATTTCACTGTATATGTACATAATCACAATTATTATCTAGTTATTAATGCTTCTAGTTTGCTCTTGATTTGAAGCTGATTAAATTTAAAGTGATATTTGCTTTACATGTATCAATTCAGTTTGACCGTCAAAGTAGCCCGTTAATAAATAATTTATCAACAAAGCAACAGTCTACAGTTCTCTGTGTCATTATTATCAACAGCTATACTACTCACTAATATATTGCGTCATATTCATCTAAGTGATGATATATTTATTATTGGTTAGGTAGTTTACATCACAGAAACTTTTGACAGTCGGTGGGATTGTCGTGTTTCGGAAATTAATAATATTGTCTGTGTAGCCTTTTAGTATTAGATTAATCGGCTAATCAGTTTTTTATAGTTCTGTTGTAGCAAATAAAAGTTCTATGTTTGTAACATTACATGAAAAATCTATTTATATCTGGTAAAAATGTACTCCATAACAATCTTAGCCTGTAGATTATTATTTAACAATATAAATGATAACTGTTGATAAATGTTTTTTTTCTTCAAGAATCTTGACCCCATTTTTTATGTGTGAAATTTCAGGAAGAGTTCGCAGTCCCAGAACAATTTAAAACAAATTTTACTGGAAAAGGGTTGAAAACAGTGTGTAGTGATTCTAGATAAGAAATGTTACTTCAATGTTCGTCATACACATACGTCAACAATATTGAAAATTTTCATTTTAAACAGCCACTTTATCTTGCTTCATGTACTAGTACAACATTTTTGTTCAAGCGCAATACAACACAGTGCTTTTCTTGATAGTTTAATTTGACTGTGTCAATCTTTGACTTTCAATATCAGGCACCTGTTGTTTTATCTCTTTTAATAGTATTTGCTTTTTTATTGCTTGTTTAAAAATATACATGTGATGATTTTTACATCGGTCTGTGTAATCCGTCATCATTATTGTGTGGTTAGTCTGTTTATTGTGCAATGCTAAGATGCGATTTCATAAGTAAAATATTAAATAACGTTAGGAATAATAATGACTTTGGTTATGGTAAACTACGAAAAATGATTTGAAAAAGTAAGAAAACACCATGTGATAGTGTTGTTTTTTTTACACAGAATAGGATATAAGCAATATACCTTTGTTTGAAACGTGGTCTTCATTCAGAAAAAAATAATTGAATACGAGAAATGAAACAAGTTATTTTGGCCACTTTAGGTACACTAGGTGGTGAATAAAAAGTTTCATAACCATATATTTAGGATTTGTATAACAACTTATGGTTTGCTTTAAACGTTGTTTTGGAATGCTTTTTTGTAGCATCTTGTTATTATTACGACACCCACAACGATTGTTTCCCTCCACTTTGTAAAAGAATAGTGGGCATTGACGCGCACAGTATTGCTCTTTAAATGATTGTCTATTGTCTTGGGTGTGCTGATTGCGGAGGGTGGTAGCTACAAGTGATCGGGTTTCGTTGTTTTAAGATTGACAAAAAATTCATGGCTAGGAGTACTATCCAACGATCACTGTGTTCACATCATGCATATTTGTACTCTGGCTTTAAGTAATAACTGTAAAAGAGAAAACTATATGCTTCAACAGCAACGTCTGATATATTCACACAGAATCAGTTCTAAAAGGAACCCTGGAGAACAATGTTAATCCATTCACATCAACTATAGAAAGCTTAAAACATCTTCCCAAAAACAACCTTGCACCAAGTTTCCCATTTGTAAAGGGTGAAATTATCAATGTGTACTCACTTTAAAATCTCAAACTACTGATACACAGATATAATTTGTTACTACCTAATAAATATCACAATTCTGGTGTCGGTAAGCAGCATTACTAGAAATCGCACCGAATAAACTAATTTGTTGTGTGATTGGTACATTTCTCTATATTTTGGGGCACAAGCTAGTGTGTAGGTATTGTGAAGTTTGTTGTTTATTTAGTCTGGAATTCAAGGTGGCGACTTCTGGTCGGGAGGTACACAATTTGAATAGAAGAAAATTAATAGACACCATATCTAGAGTAGATTGTTTTGTCTGAACTGGATGGTCTATCAAGAAAATTCACCAGCACAAGCTTCACAAAAATAGGTGACTTTTATGAAATCCTCGTTGACTATCAATATTCTATTAACATCGGATTAGATTAGTTGTCTCCAGTAGTTGCGCTGTCATTGTCTTCACGTTTATTTTGACCCTCTTCACTTTTTGCTGGATTATACACACTATGGCTGTTCTTAGCTTGCCTTATTAGTTGAAAAAAGGTTTTGATTTTAGCACATTTATTCATTTTTGAGTACTAAGCTTCTAAGACATTTCTGGCTTTTGTGTTGTCTTCGTTAGTAACTTTAATATTTCCTAGTCGAAATTCTGTTTCAAACTGGCCACATTTATTGGCATAGACAGGGCCGTGTTGTCATGCTCGAAATCAAGCTTGAAAACAGCACTGAATCCAGTTTGATACGTCTCACAATATGGAAAGAGCTCCTTAAATAATATTATCAGCTTATCCTCGACACATGACAACTTGCTCGTTCGAGACCAGTCTCTTGGTAACTATGACTGGCAAATAACATGCCTTAAGACAAACCGAGCTATGGGAAGTTGTCAAAAACCATTGCTGTTTTAGAAAGCTGTTCCGAATAGTCCTCTTTCGTCTGGTTGCTATACAGGTCAGCTTGAACCGGAATCCAGCAACGAGGTAGATGTATGAGTACCAAGGGAACACCTCAGTTATCATGTAGCCAGTTAGTTTCCGGACTGCGTCGACTGGAAAGCAGTTGACAGAGCCACATTTGTGGTCCAACAGTCTGTACAACCTACTTATTACTCAATCCTGTTACTCCTCTTATACCATAGGTTGCTGACCAGGAATCTCTAATTGACTCTGTCTTGGACGTGTCTTTGTGCAGTTTGCAATTGATCATTTTCACCTATCCCAAACAGAGAACGGTTATATCTTCTTTTGTCATCCCATTGACTCACATTGTCTGAACTTTCTGTGAACCTACATAAACTATTACCTTAGGGGGCGGCGCGTGTTTAAAAAAAAATTTTTTTTTTTCTTCTTAACTTCTCTATAAAAACCCCCTTATATAGAGAAAAAAAAAAAGGTTGGGTTTTTTTTTTTTTTTTTTTTTTTTTTTTTTACACAAAAAAAACCCCTTTTTTTTTTTTTAAAAAAAAAGGTTGGCAAGAAAAAAAATTTTTTTTTTTTTTTGTGGGAAACCCCAAAAAATAAAAAATATTAAAAAAATTGTGAAAAAAAAAAATGTTTTTTAAATTGTATTTTTTTCCAAAACCTTTATTTTTTTCTTTCCCCCCAGAAAAAAAAAAAAAAGAGGGGGGGAGGAGAGATATTTTGAAATAAATTTTTTTTTTGGTGGTGTGTTTGGCGGGCCCCACATGGGGGGGGCCGCCCCCGGGCAAAAAAATAATAAAAAATTTTTTTTTTTTTGTTTTTTTTTTTCAACCCCCCCCCCCGGGGGGGGGCCCAGGGCCCAAAAAACCAAATTGTTGTTGTAAACTTTTTTTTATTAAAACGTGTTTTTTTTTTTTTTTTTGGGGGGGGGAAAAAAAAAAAAAAAAAAAAAAAAAAAAAAAAATATTCTAAAATTTTTTTTTCCCCCCAAAAAAAAAAAAAAAAAAAAGATAAAAAACTTTGGAAAAAAAAAATTGGGGGAGAAAAAAAAAAAAAAAAAAAAAAAAAAAAAAAAAAATTTTTTTTTTTTTTTTTTTTTTTTAAAAAAAAAAAAAAAATATAAGAATATTAAAATTTTTTTTTTTTAAAAAATAATATAAAATGTCGAGAAGTGCCTTACGTGCAATAGTCGTTTAGATGTTTTGGAAATCTCACCCTTCTTCCAGAACGCGTCGTTTTAAGTTTATTTTCGGATACTGTCGAAGTATCATCGTGTGTGTTGGTTGTCGGATGAGGTATTATAAGTGTCGGAGTCGTGTCGTTCGATTGTACCGAAGGAAAATCCACGTAGATAGGATTTCCTTCTAAATACGCTGCTTTTAAGCGATCGATACTGATGCTATCGTTGGTTCCGTTCTTATCGACTATATAGTACTTAGATTCACGTTGAAGAACTTTGAAGGGTCCTTCGTGTGCTGATTCGAAGGGTCGTCGATGCGAGTCTCGACGAACGAAAACGTGTGTACTATATCGTAAGTCAGGTTGAACGAAAACATCAGTTGATTGAGGTCGAGTGGAAGCAGGTTTAACTGAACACATTGCGTTTGTAAGCCTGTTCGTGTAGGAGGTTAGATCCATGTTCATTGAAGAGGATGAAGGATCCACGAATTCTCCTGGAAGTCGAAGTGTCGTACCATAAACGAGTTGAGACGCAGTGTATCCAATGTCAGCTTTCACTGCATTGCGGATACCTAGTAAGACGAGTGGAAGAGCGTCGGTCCACTGTGAAACGTTTGTGGCTGATAGTGAAGCTTTTAATTGTCGGTGAAAACGTTCTACCAACCCGTTTGCTTGTGGATGGTAGGCGGTCGTTCGGAATCGAGTGATTCCTAAAAGCGTGGTCAGACGACGGAAAAGATCAGATTCAAACTGACGTCCGCGGTCTGTAGTAATGGTTGAAGGGCAGCCGAAGTTTGCTACCCACTGTTTCAGCAGTGATGTCCTTGATAGGTACTGCTTCTGGCCATCGAGTGAAACGGTCTACGCAGGTTAAGAGATAAGAGTGTCCATTTGAATCTGGTAAAGGTCCTACCAAATCCAGATGAACATGGTCGAAACGAGCATCGGGAGTTTTAAACGAGCCTAAGGGACATTTATTGTGTCTGATAACCTTAGATTTTTGACAGCTTACACAGGAGCGTGCCCACTCCCTCACGTCTTTATTCATTCCAGGCCAGCAAAACCTTTCTGCAATAAGCTTGATGGTTGCACGAACACCTGGATGTGAAAGTTTGTGCTATTTATTTTGGGGATTTATTTACCGCTACAGATCACTCCCCCCCTAGTGGGGCAGTGACGACCCTAAGACGTGGCCAGCCAGAAGTTTAAACCCAACGAGTTTGTCGTTGGTAAACACTCTTCTGATAGCTTACTAAGTATAGCAGCGTCTGGTCGTCTTTCCTTACTATATGGTACCGAGGTACAACATAGTAAAAAAAAATAAGGCAATGATATATAAAAAATCCCAAAAAGGAACAGACTCACAGTTGCAATTAGGTGTACCAGATCACGTCGGGCTCACCAATGATGATGTCACAGGTATTCAGTGTTTGACAACGCTTCTACCAGTAACACCTTCTAATATATTTCGTTCTCGCCCAGAGAAATCAAAAGACAGAGTCGAGGAGATCGGAAGAGTATATTTGGCGATGACCAATATATCGGAATTCTCTGATCTAATCTGGCTAGCGATTGCGGTTGATGTTGAGCACGGCGTTACCACACGTGATCTGGTGCGGATGACTGACCGAGCGCCTTCAGCTAGGTGAGTCCACTAAAACATATGGTCAGCATCCAATGTCGAAAACTTAGTGCTATTTATTTTGGAGATTTATTTACCGCTACACTCTCTTAAATGCTGGTTGTTTTAAAAACACTGTGAACATCTATCGACAATTAATCAAGACAAGGCTTCGTACATGGTTTAGGGTGTAGCTAACCTTCAGCTGCTTATGACAATAAGATTGTTTCAGCATTCATAAAGTCTATGAGATAGAACAATGGTCCATAGAGAAAGTTGACTGTTGCTTTTATTACTAGACGTAACTTGTTGAAAGGATATGTCCACAATCTCCAAATCAGCGTCGATCTTCATTGAATAAAACAAGATTCGATGTTGAAAGTCAAGTGACGTTGTAAAAACGGAACGAAACAATTTGAACTGCAAAGAGTTTTGTCCTGTCACTTTAGGGCCACGATTCACGTTGAATTTCCTTGGAATCACTTACATGTATGGTCACAATTGTATTCTTTGTTTGAATCCTGGGATGTGGATACACATATACTCTTAGTAAGCTTCGAGGTCATGTGGAGCTAGCTCAC